TCAAAGCCTCTATAAAAGGGAAGGAAAACTGTGGTTTACCTTCACTGCTTTGCTTCCAAATTCACTGTTTCCTGCAATGAAAAAAAATAATGTTCCCCCTTAGTAAGCATTAAATTTATTTATCATTAAGATTAGAAAATTTATTTTGATGAAATTTATGAATTTAAAAATTTTTGTCATTCAGAGTTTCAGAAAATAGTTGCAGAAACAATTATTGCTGTAGGCATTCAACACAACTAATATTTGGGCCATAATTTATCTTGAAAGGTCTGAATGGAACAATGGGATGAATGAGCGCAATCTTCTCTTTGGTTTTGATGGTTCCCATCAAGTTTTGTGAATTCCAGCCAGTAGTTGCAAGAAATAAAATGTAAATGAAATTCGGACAGACAGACGGAAGGGATTTGAGGACAACGAAAAGATAATACCCCCCCCATGGGGGCAAAATAAGGGTTTTTCCAAAAAACAATTGTGTCTTCTTATGGTTATTTAAGGTTTCATACAGATATCATTAACATTGGGTTTTAACGTAATGCATGAATGACATTAATAAGTTGCAAAAAGGGAATCATAATGGAAATAGACAAGCGCTAAAGATAATATTTAACTTTTCATACTCAAAAACAATTTCAGCTTCTTTCAAAAAAATGACCTACTTTAAAAGTTGATTCAGCAAATCATGTTGGGATAGGAATTTTTTATTTCTTTTACAGTAATAACCAACATCATCTCCAAAGCTTGAGGCATGTTGGTTTAATTGCAGGTGTTGATTTTCAGTTAACATATTTCAAAATCTGTTGTTTTCTTGCTGAATTTAATGCCTTCTCTTTAAAGTCTATTAAAAAAATCTTCCCAAAAAATATGCTGAAAAAAAAAAAGAAGAGTCAAATTTTGATAGCTTTAAAAAAACTTCATTCTTATGTGCACATAAAGGTTGATGGTGGCCATACATTATTCATCTTTATAAAAATCCAATTTAAAGGACTATGAAATAATTAAAACTGAAAATTTAACAAATTTAAAGAGCTATTTAAAAACATTTGCTTTAATTATTTTGTAATAAATGTAAATTTATTAATAGTTGAACAGATCTTGTAATCCCAAGCTTTGGATTTTGCAAAAAATTATCTTGCTAATAAAGAGGAAAAGTCTGAGGTTATTTACCATGACGGAACATAATTAAAATCCATTGCTAGAAAAAGTTTCATAACTTTTAAATGCAAAGGTGAAAAAGGTTTTTTAAAAAATTTTGGGAAAGGAACAATTCTGTCAATAGGGGCCATGATTCATAATATTCTAAATTCTAAATGTATCCCTTAGCTATAGAAAGCACCATGGGTTTAAGAGTGAAAGATTAAATTTGCATGTTATTTTAATAAGTTGTAAAACTAAGTAAACACCAGGGGGGAAAAATTTTTGAACCAGAAAGGACCATAAGGATGTTGCTTCATGCAAAAATTTCAGCATTTAACTTATAAGGAAACTTCAAATTTTCATTTTATAATGTCTATTTTTTTAAATAATACCTAATGCAATCAGAAGGTTCCTTTAAGTTCACCTTAGTTTCATTCCTGTTGAAGTTTGTAAAATTACTATTCAAGTTTTAAGAAGATGCTGTTTATAGAAAAATTGTGCAATAACAACAATTTGTCATAAAAATTGAACATTTTTATGGGCTCAAAAATAAGACAATTTAGGGGTCATAGCTGTGCCCCCCCCAAAAATTTAAGCAAAATATCAAGAAAAGTATCACAAAAGGCTTAATGAAGATATACAAATTCTTCTATAACATGCTAATAGATAACTCTTGAATTTGCAACTGGGAAGGAGGGGGTAAATGAACCGATGTCACCCGGAAAATAAAGGGGGGAAATGACTGATTAGTTTGAAGGGGGCCCGGGGAAAAGATCTGATTTTAAACTTAAAAAGGGGGCAGGGGTTAATTTAAAGGGTGACAGCCTGAAAGGGGATGGGAAAAGATTGAAAATTTAGCTTGAAAAGGGGCAGGGGTAAAGATCTGATTTTAGCTTTTAAAGGGGCAGGGGTAAAAAGATTTTGATTTTATTTGAAAGGGGCAGGGTTTTGAAACTGATGACAGCCATGGAGGAAAAATTCAGGTGTCCCTTTCCCCGTATTATTCAGGCAAAGAAACAGGCAACCTAAATGAAACCCCCGACGTTCCAAAAAGTAGCTGGATAGTTCCCCCACATGGAAAAAATCCCAAAACTCCTTGTCCGGATTCAAAAAACCACAGCAGTGACGAGCAAGTGGTTTGAAGTCAATGACCTTAACCACTCCGCCACATAAGACGCCCCCATGTCAGCCTTGAAAGGTGAGTGGTAAAATGATCTGATGTTCAGCCTGGAAGGTGAGGGCTAAATAATCTGAAATTCAGTCTAGAAGGTGAGGGCTTAATTAATCGTTGTAGCCTGGAAAGTGAAGGGGTAAAGGATTCTGATGTCAAACCTGGAAGGTGAGGGGTAAATAATCTGATGTCAGCCTGGAAGGTGAAGGGGTAAATGATGTGATGTCAGCAAGGTTGGTGAGGGCGGTATATGATCTGATGTCAGCCTTGAAGGTGAGGGGTAAATAATCTGATGACAGCCAAGAAGGTGAGGGGTATATGTTCTGATGTCAGCCTGAAAGGCAAGGGCTAAATAATCTGATGTCAGTCTGGAATGTGAGTGGTAAATGTTCTGATGTATGGGCTAAATAATCTGATGTCAGTCTGGAAAGTGAGGGTTAAATTATCTGATGTCAGCCTGGAAGGTGAGGGGTAAATAATCTTATGTCAGTCTGGAAGGTTAGGGCTAAATAATCTGTTGTCAGCTTGGATGGTACAGGGTAAATGATGTGATGTCAGCCAGGAAGGTGAGGGGTAAATGATGTGATGTCAGCCAGGAAAGTGAAGGGTAAATTATCTGATGTCAGTCTTGAAGGTGAGGGTTAAATAATCTGATGTCAGCTAGAAAGGTGAGTGGTTAATTATCTGATGTCAGCCTGGAAGGCGAGGGTTTAAAAATCTGATGTTAGTCTGGAAGGTGAGGGGTAAATTATCTTATGTCAGTCTGGAAGGTGAGGGCTAAATAATCTGTTGTCAGCCTGGAAGGTAAGGGGTAAATGATCTGATGTCAGCTTGGATGATGAGGGCTAAATAATCTGTTGTCAGTCCAGAAGGTGAGGGCTTAATAATCTGATGTCAGTCTGGAAGGTGAGGGCTTAATAATCTGATGTCAGTCTTGAAGCCGAGGGGCAAATTATCTGATTTTAGTCTGGAAGGTGAGGGCTAAATAATCTGTTATCAGCCTGGAATGATGTAATGTCACCCAAAAAGGTGAGGGGTAAATGATTTAATGTCAACCTTGAAGCTTCGTGCTAAATAATCTGTTGTCAGCCTGGAAGGTGAGAGCTAAATAACCTTATGTCAGATCTGGAGGGTGATAAGAAAATAATCTGTTGTCAGCCTGGAAGGCGAGGGCTAATAAATCTGTTGTCATCTTGGAAGGTACAGTGTAAATGATGTGATGTCAGCCCAGAAGGTGAGGGCTAAATGATCTAATGTCAGCCTGGAACATGACGGGTAAATAATCTGATGTCAACAACCAGACTGGCCTGAAGAGGCACCTAACCACTTACTACACTCTTATTATCTGATATTATGCTATTTTATTTCTGTTAAAATTAAATCTATTGTACAAAAATACTCACTTTTGCTTCTCCCTTTTTACCAATCCATATCTGAAATACAAAATGTCAGATGCATTCAATACTTGTAAATAAGAATAGAAAGTTAATAGTATTTATCATGATAAAGGGACTTAAGCCTAAAACCAACAGTACCTTCAGGGTTAAAATTTAGCAATATTTTCTACTTGCAGATTTTTGCAAGTGATCAAATGTTTAACTGGAAATATGAGGTAGTCAACTGGCATTGTCATGATCATGTATCTTATTATTATTTTTAACACAATGAAAATGTATTTTGAACAAATGGTATGACAAATGATAATAAGCTTAAATGTCTATTGAATGTCAGAAACATCTTTATCACAAGTAAACACAGATCTCTCATGTACATGATGTAAAGAAACAAAACCATTTCAACACATTAATAAATAAATGATAAACAACTGTTTAGGGATCAGATTAGATATACCAGAGGAACACCCACCAGTACAGTTATAAACTTGTTCATGTAGTGTAATTTCTTAGGGCCTTCATTAATTTTAGCATATTTTGTACTTGATTAAACGAACATCCTGAAAAATCAGAGGTACTGATCTACTTAAATAAATATTTCAGCTTTAAAGTAAACAATTTACAGAGGAGTGCTACTCATTTACATTGGACCCTGATAAAACAACATGGATGCTCTAACAAATAGTGTTTGGCTGTTATAAATAGTCCCATCAAAATATAGTCACAGAAAATATAGAGCAACAAAAAGTTGGTTTGTAAGTTTTAAAGGTAACTGTCATCAGTTACTGCAGCGGACAGTTGCCAGGCATCATCATCAGCTAAGAAGATATCAATTATGTAAATGTCCAAAATGAACAGTCACTTGCAAATTAATGCCAGTTAGAGTAATTTTTATTGGCAGTATTAGATTTTAACTAGCATTTTGCCAGTATGCCAGCTTAACTTCGAACCCTGTACCTTTAATTATTATTTATCATTACTAGCTGGCCGTTAAAATGAAAAAAAAAAAAAATTTTAATAAAAAATACAAGTATACTTTACACTTTAATATAACTCAAGGAATATAAAACAGATCAAACTATGATTCTTTTTATCACCATACACCAAGAAAATGATCAGTTTTAAACTGCTAAAAAAAAATTATTTACAAACTATATGTTAATGTTTATATGTAAATATTTACAATATTTAAAGTGAATTTTTTTTTTTGTTATCATCTCTTTTCTTTAGTATCTTATGGACAGTTAAGTGCATATAAAAACAGCAAAATACAAAAATCAGCAGTGAAAATTATCTCCCCTTGAAAAATATTAGTGACAACACTTATTTTGACTTGTTAGAATCAAATATCAAGCCAATAAACACCTCCGAGATTAAGATTCTTACCCGAAGCCAATAAACACCTCTGAGACGAAAATTCTTACCTGAAGCCAATAAACACATCTGAGACAAAGATTCTTACCCGAAGCCAATATTATTTAAAATCCCTCTGAGACCAAGATTCTTACCCGAAGCTAATAAACACCTCTGATATGAAAATTCTTACCTGAAGCCAATTAATGTCTCAGAGACTAAGATTCTTACCCGAAGCCAATATTTAAACACCTCTGACACTAAGATTCTTATCCCAAGCCAATAAACACCTCTGAGACAAAAATTCTTACCCGAAGCCAATTAACATCTGGGTGACTAAGATTCTTACCTGAAGCCAATAAACACCTCTGAGACGAAAAATTCTTACCTGAAGCAAATAAACACCTCTGAGATTAAGATTCATCCCCGAAGCAAATAAACACCTCTGAGATGAAGACTCTTACCCGAAGCGAATAAACACTTCTGAGACTAAAATTCTTACCCGATGCCAATAAACACCTCTGAGAAATATATTCTTACCCAAAGCTAAAAAACACCTCTGAGACTAAGATTCTTACCAGAAGCCAATAAACACCTTTGAGACAAAGATTCTAACCTGAAGCCAATTAACACCTCCGAGATTAAGATTCTTACCCAAAGCTAACAAACACCTCTGAAACAAGATTCTTACCCAAAGCTAACAAACACCTCTGAAACAAGATTCTTACCCAAAGCTAACAAACACCTCTGAGACGAAGATTCTTACCCAAAGCCAATAAACACCTCTGAGATGAAAATTCTGAACCGAAGCCAATAAACACCTTTAAAACAAGATTCTTACCAGTAGCCCATAAGCACCTCTGAGATGAAGATTCTTACCCGAAGCCAATAAACACCTCTCGAACTAAGATTCTTACCTGAAGCCAATAAACACATCTAAGACTTAGATACTTACCTGAAGCCAATAAACACCTCTCAGACTAAGATTCTTACCCGAAGCTAAGAAACACCTCTGAGACTAAGGTTCTTACCCAAAGCCAATAAACACCTCTGAGACTAAGATTCTTACCTGAAGCCAATAAACACATCTAAGACTTAGATTCTTACCCCAAGCCAATAAACACCTCTGAGACTAAGATTTTTACCCAAAGCCAATAAACACCTCTCAGACTAAGAAACATACCCGAAGCCAATAAACACCTCTCAGACTAAGATTCTTACCCAAAGCCAATAAACACCTCTCAGACTAAGAAACATACCCGAAGCCAATAAACACCTCTCAGACTAAGGTTCTTACCCGAAGCCAATAAACACCTCTGAAACAATGATTCTTACCCGAAGCCAATCCTTAATTTCTCTGTAGAACCTTTCAAAAGATGAACTTTGAATGAAGGCTGACAACTTGGTATCAATGATGTCCTCAGTATTGTTAGACCTTTGTCAGCAAACTTTAGCATATTTCCTGCACACTTCACACCAGCATCAGCTATCAAACTTTCCTCAGATAAAATGTCTTTACACAGATTGTTTTTCAAAATCTGAAAACATTAATTAAACATGACTCTTGCAATATAGAAACCCTCTATGAAGACCATCAAAAGGACTGGGCCAAAGACTTAGTGGTCTTAATTGTGGGGTGGTCTCAGCTGTAGATATTCCATGATGTAATTGTGGCCAGGGCAGCCTATATTCTACTTAGACATGATGTATTTATGGCCAGGGTAGCATATATTCTACTCAAGCATGATGCATATATGGCCAGGGTAGCCTATATTCTACTTAAACATGATGTTTTGTTTGTTTGTTTCATTTAACGCCTTTTCCCAACAGTGTTTCAGTCATATAGGCGGGTAGTTTCCTTACCATTGTTCCTGGAGAGTTACACCAGTACTAGACTACCTTCCTCCGCGCTTAACTACCAAAGCATCTGCCGGGGATCGAACCCACACCAGAGAGGTAACTGGATGAGAAGTCATCAACTCTAAACATGATGTATTTATGGCCAGGGTAGCCTATAGTCTACTTAAACATGATGTATTTATGGTCAGGGTAGCCTATATTATACTAAAACATGATGTATTTATGGCCAGGGTAGCCTATATTCTACTTAAATATGATGTATTTGGCAAGGGTAGCCTTTATTCTACTTAAACATGATGTATTTATGGCCAGGGTAGCCTATATTCTACTTAACATGATGTATTTAGGGGCAGGGTAGCCTTTTTCTACTTTAACATGATTTCTGTGTATAAATGGCTATTGCATCAATTATTCAACATGAATCATACATCATCATTAAAGCAGTAAATGAATCAAAAAGTCAATCTTTACATAGTCATACCCAGGATAAGGAGTCTACTTTTGGTTGTATACCACATTGTGAGCATAGTAGAGGGCTATCTGGATTGTTTTCCTGTTGTCTATATGAGTGTCTTGGTATTAAGGCACTTACATGACCTACAACAGACAATTAATAAATACCAGGTTTTTTTTGTTACATCACACATGAATGATTATCAAGGTTAAAATGTTCTTATTACATGTTTCCTTTTAACTTTTATAACTAATATATTTCATAAATGCTCTGCTTATTTTTACATTAAGTTGTTGTGGTTGCTTTGAAAGTTTGTTTTAAAACATGGATAATCTATAACGGGAGGATTACTAATGATAATACAAATTTTATTTTCTAGCCTGGAGACTGATGGTCAATCATAATGAAGGATGAAAGGTCTGAATTTCAATTTTCAAAATTAGGATACTATTAACTTATTTTGTTTCAAATATTACTATTAACAGACATAAAAAGCACATTGTTTGAACTTATATTAACTACAAAGAACAGGATATACAGCATTTCACCTTATATTAATTTTGTAGTTTATGGGCATTTCAGGATGCAATAATCTCAATACTAAAATAGTATGGTGTAAGGTTAGTGAATGTACTTACTCTTTTCAGGAAGCTGTTTACCCATTACAAGAGACATTGTATGTGGAATATTGTTTAACTGTAAGACATAGTCAAGTACAAGTTTGTATTGTAGTATAGCATTCCACACTGTCTCCTCTAGCTTCTGTGATATAAGATCTCCCTGATGCTGTTTTACTGTATGACAGTACAAACTTATACTACTGCCACCTACAAACATAAACAAATTTTCATACATATGATGTATTGTTACAATGCAAATAATGTCTTTTATTATGATTGGCTTACATACTTTATACACTATGATTTATATACTGTAAAAGAACAGAGACAGACTCAATAGCTATGTTTTCTGCATCTTAGATGGTAAATTATGCATGCACAATAAATCTATAGTTGCCTTTTGTTTTAAGGCATATTGCTTGATTTAAATATCATAACTTCAATCAAGAGCAATATCTAAAAGTTTCACTGCATTCATCACTATATGCTTGAATTACATTTCTTTGTCCAGTGTTCATGTAACTAATGTCTGACGCTCTCTTCTTGATGTGCACATTTATTCACCTGCTTCAATGAAAATAATCAAAGGTGCTGCTTTTTTATTTTATTTCGAACTTAATGTTAATAAGAATTTGTATTGTAATAAATTCGTTAAACAAGTTACTTATGGTATATACAAAAGAATATAGCTTGCTGACAATATAACTTTAGGTTAGCTACTCAGGTCGTATCTATTTCATTAAGGCTAAACAAGTCATATCTATCTCATTTAGACTACTCAGGTTATATCTATCTCATTTAGGCTACTCAGGTCATTTCTATCTCATTTAGGCTACTCAGGTTATATCTATCTCATTTAAGCTACTCAGGTCATAACTATCTCATTTAGGCTACTCAGGTTATATCTATCTCATTTAGGCTACTCAGGTCATTTCTATCTCATTTAGGCTACTCAGGTCATTTCTATCTCATTTAGGCTACTCAGGTTATATCTATCTCATTTAAGCTACTCAGGTCATAACTATCTCATTTAGGCTACTCAGGTTATATCTATCTCATTTAGGCTACTCAGGTCATTTCTATCTCATTTAGGCTACTCAGGTTATATCTATCTCATTTAAGCTACTCAGGTCATATCTATCTCATTTAGCCTACTCATGTCATTTCTATCTCATTTAACCTGCTCAGGTCTTTTCTATCTTATCTAGACTAAACAAGTCACAAGTCATAAATTCTATCTTCGGCTACTCAGGTCATATCTATCTCATTTAGACTACTCATGTCATTTCTATCTCATTTAACCTGCTCAGGTTTTTTCTATCTAATCAAGACTAAACAAGTCATATCTATCTCATTTAGACTACTCAGGTTATACATATCGCATTTAGACTACACAAGTCATATCTATCTCATTTAGGCAACTCAGTTCATATCTATCTCATTTAGGCTACTCAGGTTATATCTATCTCATTTAGGCAACTCAGTTCATATCTATCTCATTTAGGCTACTCAGTTCATGTCTATCTCATCTAGGCTACTCAGGCCATATCTATCTCATTTAAGCTACTCAGGTCATGCCTATCTCATCTAGCCTACTCAAGTCATATCTGTCTCATTTAGGCTACTCAGGTCATATCTATTTCATTTAGGCTATTCAGGTCATACCTATCTCATCTAGCTAACTCAAGTCATATCTATCTCATTTAGGCTACTCAGGTCATATCTATCTCATTTAGCCTACTCATGTCATTTCTATCTTATTTAGACTACTCAGGTCATATCTATCTCATTTAGGCTACTCAGATCATAACTTTCTCATTTAGCCTACTGAGGTCATACCTATCTCATTTAGGCTACTCAGGTCATATCTATCTCATTTAGCCTACTCAGGTCATATCTATCTCATTTAGGCTTCTCAGGTCATATCTATCTCATTTTAGGCTACTCAGGTCATATCTATCTCATTTAGACTACTCAGGTCATATCTATCTCATTTAGGCTACTAAGGTCATATCTATCTCATTTAGGCTTCTCAGGTCATATCTATCTCATTTAGCCTACTCAGGTCATATCTATCTCATTTAGGCTTCTCAGGTCATATCTATCTCATTTAGGCTACTCAGGTCATATCTATCTCATTTAGACTACTCAGGTCATATCTATCTCATTTAGGCTACTAAGGTCATATCTATCTCATTTAGGCTACTAAGGTCATATCTATCTCATTTAGGCTACTAAGGTCATATCTATATCATTTAGGCTACTAAGGTCATATCTATCTCATTTAGGCTACTCAGGTCATATCTATCTCATTTAGGCTACTCAGGTCATATCTATCTCATTTAGACTACTCAGGTCATAATCTATCTCATTTAGGCTACTAAGGTCATATCTATCTCATTTAGGCTTCTCAGGTCATATCTATCTCATTTAGCCTACTCAGGTCATATCTATCTCATTTAGGCTTCTCAGGTCATATCTATCTCATTTAGGCTACTCAGGTCATATCTATATCATTTAGGCTACTAAGGTCATATCTATCTCATTTAGGCTACTAAGGTCATATCTATCTCATTTAGGCTACTAAGGTCATATCTATCTCATTTAGGCTACTAAGGTCATATCTATCTCATTTAGGCTACTCAGGTCATATATTTTTCATCTCGGCTACTCAGGTCATATCTATCTCAGTTAGGCTGTGATGATTTAAATACTACATACAATTCTATCTCTTAATAAATGTCAATAAGTTTCAAGCCATTTTCTACTTATTTTATCATTTTTTTAATCATCTATCTTGATTAAAATAATAAACAAAGAACAAACTGTTTTATTTTCAAATTTTTGATAAACAATTGATCAATAAGATGATGGCTGTTGTTTGTTTGTTTGTTTCATTTTACGCCTTTTTCCAACAGTATTTCAGTCATATAGGCGGGTAGTTTCATAACATCGTTCCTGGGGAGTTACACCAGTACTAGACTACCTTCCTCAGCGCTAAACTACCAATGGCTGATGTGAACTGTTGTTAATCATTGCATAATGAAATGTTAAGCTACCCCCAGCCTCCTCTTTGATCTCTATGAGAGTTTCCACATTTCCTTCTTGTACTATAAATCCAGTCTGCCAGGCAATATTCCATTTTCTCAATCTAGTACAGTAAGTTAGCAACTGTCTCAGTATAAAACTTGCAGTAGGGTTGGCTAAACTTGCCTTGTAGCCAACTGTATAAAACATATCCTTTCTCTTGTCTCTTCCTGGAATTTCTGGGAAAAACTCATCCTGAATGTGTGATAAAATAAAAATAAATGCTACTTTCAAGTAATAAACCTTATGAAGAAATAATTAAACAAGAGGGCCATGATGGCCCTGAGGTCGCTCACCTGTATATAGGCCCCCCACCCCCCCAATGTTGCAGGGCCAATTTAACCCAAGGGCTTTTATTTGCACAAACTTGGTAGACACCCATAAGAAGATGTTTCAAGCTAAACATCTAAGCTCTAGCTCATTGGGTTTTTTAAAAGAAGATTTTTTTTAAAGTTTTTACTATACACATATAGTTAAAAACAATGACATCCCTGGGGCCGGGCCAGTTTTGACCCTAGGGTTTTTATTTGAACAAACTTTGTAGACACTTACTAGAAGATTTTTCATGCTTAATATCTAAACTCTAGCTATTTGAGTTTTTTCAAAGAAGATTTTAAGTTTTTGCTATACACATATAAAGAAAATCAATGACCCCCGGGGCAGGGCCAATTTTGACCCCAGGTCTTTTATTTAAACAAACTTTGTAGACACTCACTAAAAGATGTTTCATGCTTAATTTCTAAACTCTAGCTATTTGGGATTTTCAAAGAAGATTTTTTAAATTTTTGCTATACACATATAAGGAAAATCAATGACCCCCGGGGCGGTGCCAATTTTGACCCCAGGGGTTTTATTTGAACAAACTTGGTAGACACCTATTAGAACATGTTTGATGCTATAAATGTCTTAGCCATAGCTCTTTGAGTTCTTTAAAAGAAGATATTTTAAGTTTTTACTATATGGATATAGTGAAAATCAATGACCCCCTGGGGCGGGGCCAATTTTGACCCCAGGGCTTTTATTTGAACAAACTCGGTAGACACTTATTACAACATGTTTCATGCTAAATATCTTAGCTCTAACTCTTTTGGTTCTTTAAAAGAAGATTTTTTAAGTTTTTACTATATGCATATAGGGAAAATCAATGACCCCCTGGGGCGGTGCCAATTTTGACCCCAGGGCTTTTATTTGAAAAAACTTGGTAGACACCTATTAGAACATGTTTCATCCTCAATATCTTAGCCATAGCTCTTTGAGTTCTTTAAAAGAAGATTTTTTAAGTTTTTACTATATGCATATAGGGAAAATCAATGACCCCCTGGGGCGGGGTCAATTTTGACCCCAGGACTTTTATTTGAACACACTTGGTAGACACCCATTAGAACATGTTTCATGCTAAATATCTTAGCTCTAGCTCTTTTGGTTCTTTAAAAGAAGATTTTTTAAGTTTTTACTATATGCATATAGGGAAAATCAATGACCCCCTGGGGCGGGGCCAATTTTGACCCCAGGGCTTTTATTTGAACAAACTTGGTAGACACTCACTAGAAGATGTTTCATGCCAAATATCTAAGCTCTAGCTCTTATGATTTTTTAAAAGAAGATATTTAAAGTTTTTTTCTTTCGGTTGCCATGGCAACCAGAGTTCTGCATGGAATTAAATTCTTTGAACAATTTTTTAAGGTGACCACCAAAGGAACATTCCTGTGAAGTTTGGATGAAATTGGCTTAGTGGTTTATGAGGAGATGTCATTTAAAGAAAAAGTTTACGGACGACAGACGGACGAACGGATGCCGGATGAAAAGCGATCACAAAAGCTCACCCTGTCACTTTGTGACAGGTGAGCTAAAAACTGGCATAAGACAAATTAGTAGAAAGGTAATGAAAATAAAATGGCAATTAACAGCAGATGAAAATTATACCTAAAGGAAAATAAACACAGGGAAAAGTAACATGGAATAGATTTTTCAACGGCTTTATAAAAGAAAATAAAAATTTGTCGAATTATTATCTAGGTCACTAAGTACACAACACGGCAAGAAAAATTTCCAAAACATATGAACACACTGTTTTCCAAAAGTTTTTGCCTTCAATATTCAACAAGTAGTTCAAGTTTGAAGTGAATATCTTTGGCATTTTTCTGGTTATCTGCCATTCAATGCATTTAAATACCTTGTGTGGAAAATTATTCCAACTTAAGAATGAGTATCTGTGATAGTAAGCTTGTTAACACAGGCAAAAAAAAACTTTCTTAAAAAATGGAATAGCTTTGAGTTATCTAAGGATTATTTGTAAAATATAATATCATATCACATGATGATAGTGAACAAGTAAACCAAGTTTTAAGAAATAAATTTTGTTTTTTTTTAAGGAAAATTGACCTCAATATTTTACCTAGAAAAGGTCACAAAGACCTTGGACCTTTGGACTTCAAAATCAGTGAGATAGGTAGAACAAGGTCTATCCACATATAAAGTTTCAATGACATTCCTTCATTGATATTGAAGTAATGACCATTAGCTTAAAACTTAACCAAAAAGGTAATCCAACACCATCAAGTGGGTCAAGACAATTATAAAAACCTTTCCTCAAACAGTGGAGCTTAAAACATTTGAGCCGTGTCACGACAAAACCAACATAATTGGTTTGCGACCAGCATGGATCCAGACCAGTCTGATCAGGATCCATGCTGTTCGCTTACAGACCCTATAACAAGTAAAGAAACTGATAGCGAACAGCATGGATCCTGATCAGGCTGTGCGGATGCACAGGCTGGTCTGGGTCCATGCTGGTCACAAACCCATTATGTTGGTTTTGTCGTGACACGGCTCATTTATCTTATTCCATGAGAAAGTCAATACTTACCAATGAAACAACTGGTTGCTTTGGTAGATCTTGGAATGAAATAAATACTGATGGGTACACACTTAACCCTAGCAACATCAGTAGACTAACACCTGGTGAAGCCTGTAACATCAACATCATTTATTTAATATTATATATTGATGTAAATATATTAAAATTATTCTGTGGTGAGCACACTATTGTTACTGTTGGTTAATTTTAAATGCAGAATTGAAATATATAAACAAAATGACTCATTGTTGCTTGTTAAATCAATAATTTGATAATGATGACATTTAAATATAGACCACAATAAAGTATTTAGAGAAAAAGGGCGATAAAGCCATTTAAAGGAGCATATTTTGCATAAATATTCTACTATGTTAAATTTTGGTCTCTAAAGGATGAAGTTTCAAATCTAATGCAATTTACTTTTCAACTACTAACAACTTGCATAGATTTTTTTTAGTTTGCATGACTTCATAGCCAAAACAATACATTCTTAATACAACTGACATAAATGCAGGCTTAAAGATATTTTTCTTATAACCCTGCAATGATTCATGTAGCCTATGGTTTGGTTCTGTCTTAGTCTATATTTCTAACATTTATTACCTGTTCCTTGCTCACTGTTGGCTGTAAAGCAGCTATAAGGTCTGATCTTTCCCACATTGGAACAGTGTCTCCTACACCATTAACACGTCCATTACAGGTGGAGGTTGTAGGTGGATTAAATGCTTTGTTACAGATCTTAGCAAACCATTCAACCAAACAAACACCACTTGTATCATCAATGGTAGAAAAAGTCACAGTTCGTCCCTGCAATAAAATTAACATTAATGATGGATATAGTATTACTTGTATCATAGTTTGGGGACCTTTCTGTTGAAAATGTGTCAGAGTTAAATCGTATACATAAACATGCACAGTGTGTTAACAGGAGTGCAGGTATTAGTTACCCGCACTCAAGAGCATGCCCACTGATTGGTTCATTTTGTCCGAGGCTTACATATTGTGACGACAGAGAAAGGGATAGCGATGGAAATGTCATATTCAGATGCTCGTTCATTGGTTACTTTTTTTGTGGGGTTTCATATTGTGGTATCAGGGAACGTGTTTTAATGTTTGACTATGATACAAAAGAGAAAGAACATAAAAACATTCTGCAATCTGATTTATACTCGGATAGCCTCGTGTTTCGATGCTCTTTCTATTACTTATCTATGTTGCTTACAGAATATATGTAAGTTATAAAGGTTGATGGCAGAATATATATGTAAGTTATGAAGGTTGCTGGCAGAATATATGTCAGTTATGTAGGTTGCAAACTAGATATAAGTATGTTATATAGCTTGCTGACATTATATATGTATGTTCTGTATGTTACTAACAAGATATATGTACTTTATGTAGATTGCAGACAGAATATATGTAAGTTATCTAGGTTGCTGACAAGAAATATGAGTTATATAAGTTTCTGACAAGATATATGTAAGTAATGTAAGTTGCAGACAGAATATAGGTAAGTTATGTAGGTTGCATACAGGATATAAGTAATTCATGTAGGTTGCAAATAGGATATATGTAAGTTATATAGGTTGCAGACAGCATATATAGTAATTGCATAAATACAGGAATGAACACACCCTCCTTCATGCTTCCTCAATTCTCAATAAGTCACATATTTTCAAAACACATTTTAATTGCTATCAAAAAATTTAAGTTAAGTAAAGTCACTAAAACTGATGGCAAAAGAAGCCATGATATAACATATCCCCTAATTTTGTAAAAGTTTCACACAAATGATAAATCTAACACAAATCTATGAATAGTTTACAGTTTCATACAAATCTATGAAAATTTTACAGTTCCACGCAAATCTATGATTATTTCACTGCTTCATACAATCTATGAATATCTTACAGTTTCACACAACTCTGTAAATATTTTACATATTAACACATTTCTTTGTATATTTTACAGTTTAACACAAATTTATGAATATTTTAAAGTTTAACACAAATCTATAAATGTTTACCATCATGGCCATTAAATCCATCATCTTCCTTGTGTTATCCTTGTTTGACTCTGTTGATAGTACACCAGTGTTAAGCATTTTATCTACACTATCTTGTAATGTAAACTTGTATATAGGGGCAGCCATCTCCTGGTATTCTGGATACAGGCTACAAAGCTTCTCAAGACTAGACACAACTTGTTTGGCACCATCAGAACCCTGAAATGTATCAAGTGAATGTTAATGTTATAATGCAGTTTAATATCATCTTTGCATGATATCACAGTGCTGTTGCTGAAACAGTGTCTCAATGTTGCTGTTGAAACAATGTCACAATGTTGCTGTTATAACAATGTCAAAATGTTGCCGTTATAACAATGTCTCAATGTTGCTGTTGAAACAATGTCAAAATGTTGCTGTTATAACAATGTCTCAATGTTGCTGTTGAAACAATGTCTCAATGTTGCTGTTGAAACAATGTCAAAATGTTGCTGTTATAACAATGTCACAATGTTGCTGTTATAACTATGTCACAATGTTGCTGTTATAACAATGTCTCAATGTTGCTGTTGAAACAATGTCTCAATATTGCTGTTGAAACAATGTCTCAATGTTGCTGTTGAAACAATGTCAAAATGTTGCTGTTATAACAATGTCTCAATGTTGCTGTTGAAACAATGTCTCAATATTGCTGTTATAACAATGTCTCAATATTGCTGTTATAACAATGTCACAATGTTGCTGTTGAAACAATGTCACAATATTGCTGTTATAACAATGTCACAATGCTGTTGTTGAAACAATGTCACAATGTTGCTGTTATAACAATGTCTCAATGTTGCTATTGAAACAATGTCACAATGCTGTTGTTGAAACAATGTCACAATGTTGCTGTTGAAACAATGTCTCAATGTTGCTGTTATAACAATGTCTCAATGTTGCTGTTATAACAATGTCTCAATGTTGCTGTTATAACAATGTCTCAATGTTGCTATTGAAACAATGACACAATGTTGCTGTTGAAACAATGTCTCAATGTTGCTGTTATAACAATGTCACAATGTTGCTGTTCAAACAATGTCACAATGTTGCTGAAATAACAATGTCACAATGTTGCTGTTATAACAATGTCACAAAATGCTGTTATAACTATGTCACAATGTTGCTGTTCAAACAAAGTTACAATGTTGCTGTTATAACAATGTCACAATGTTGCTGTTCAAACAATGTCACAACGTTGCTGAAATAACAATGTCACAATGTTGCTGTTATAACAATGTCACAAAATGCTGTTATAACATTGTTACAATGTTGCTGTTCAAACAAAGTTACAATGTTGCTGTTATAACAATGTCACAGTGTTCATGTTAAAACAATGTTACAATGCTCTTATTGAACCAATGTATCAAAACTCTTGTTGAACCAATGTATCAAAACTCTTGTTGAAACAATATTACAAAGCTCTTGTTGAAACAATGTAACAAAGCTCCTATTAAAATTTTATTTCAAGCACAAGGGGGTCAAACCCCATATGGATCTCAAAATTGAGCATTGGTATAATATACATGTGAATTTCCACTGATCCGACATGCACTATAACACAATATGTGAAGGTGAAAATAAGTCAATCAAAGGGTATGTTTCCAACTTTTTTCACTGTTATATAAAATTCAGAGCTTTCTTAGGAAAATCGAAATGTGATTCTACGCTCCTGACTTTCCTCTATATTTACCAATTTTGTTACGGATTTTAATGCAGTTTTCGTGGAGATATTCTTTTTCATTTGTGGATTCTGGTATGCCATAAACATGCAATTACAATGAAAAAAAGATGCTAAAAATACAAAGCTGAAATTCACATATATTTTTTACCGATGCTCAATTTTGAGATCCATAAGGTGTTCTACCTTCGTGAAGCAGGTAAATGTGGTAAGATAAATCTATAAATTACTTACAGTAAATGGTTTTGTGATGTTAATATCTACTGAATCAAGATAAAGGTTTTCCAGTGAGTTGCTCAACATCACCTGACACATTGTATTCATTTGTTGATCTATACTGGAGTTTACTGAACTGCTGCTTCTGAAGCACAAAGTTAATGTGATATCAAAACAATATAGCTTCTCTAACAATCAAATCATAACTTGAATGATACAATCAAGTATACATAAAACTATTGATCCATTGTTGTAGTATTCTTGTCTTAAATAGCAGAATTTTTAGCATGTTCTAGATAAAAAATAAAACAATAAAGTATTATACAAAATAAGAATTATTTACAGGTTAATACAACATACAAAATACATTGTTTTATAAAACCTACTTTTCTTTTCTCTCTTAACTATGTCTGTCAAAATACTTCCCAATTTAAAAAGATAGTAGAATTCTAAAACTCACTATTTCAAAATATAAAAGTATCAATAAAAAATGTATGTACTTGTTAGCAATTTTCTTGAATGTTTCAGCTAGCTCTGCATCAAGGGATTTCTGAAGTTTTGTAGCTGTAGATTTTGCTGCTGCAGCCACTTCATGTTTAATCTGATCCACAGGTATCTTATCACTGCCTCCATTCATACCAACTATCATAAATACACCATTATGTACCTGCATAAAAACAGTATCACTAAATAACTGTATTTAAATTATCAATATCTCAGCTCTACACACTCGGGGAAAATATTGCCTAAACACACAGTTGCCATAGGCAATGGCAAACATTTCATAATTCAGAGTTTCCAGTATTAAGAGGATATTTTTCGATGAAGTTTGGAGTTTTAAAATCATCTAATTTCTGGGGGGTCCTGTTTGTAATGTTCATGTTTGTAATGAAGTTTAGAAAAACGTCAGTTCTATCAATGAGGATAAACAAGAATATAAAAAGTTAGGTCAAAGGTCACTTTACTACTATTACTCCATTATTTGTTTTTGTATTTTGGATAAACAACCTTTTTAATTGGTTGTTCCATCAGTTAGGTTAAAGGTAACTTTTGTATTACTACACCAAACTGTATTTAGGTTTTGTATTAATACGCCAAACTGTATTTAGGTTTTGTATTAATACGCCAAAGGTATTTAGATTTTATTTTGTTTTGTTTGTTTGTTTTGGGTTTTATGTCACATCAACACAGTATAGGTCATATTGCGACATTCCAGCTTTACTGGTGGAGGAAGACCTCAGGTGCCCCTCCGTGCAATATTTCAGGCATGAACAGGTACCTGAGTAGAACCACGGACGTTCCGTAAGCTAGCTGGATAGATTTAGGTTTTGTATTACTAGCCCAACTGTATTTAGGTTTGGTTTTGGTTATAGTCTTTGTCAAGACATGTACACTAACGGTTGTTTATTAAAATTTGACTTCTTATTGTTTATGTGTCTGCTAGCTCTAATAAATGATATTATTATTTAAAATTGCCTTTTGGTTTTAAAATAATTTTTCACAAAATGGTAAATATACCTTATTTATTATCTGACAGATAATACCAAATATACGTGCAGCTGTTGTCTTTACATCACTGTTTTTACAAACAGGAAAAATGTAAACTGTTCTCTTTGTTATAAACATATCACATATGCTCTGAAATACAGGAAAAATGTAAACTATTTCATTTGTTAGATCATATATGTTGTGAAATATAAAACAACTATGTAATTAACCATCATATAAAAATAGATAAATTATTCCCCTCCCACTCACTATTGTACACACATACATTTTAATGACATTTTAAGATAAAATAGATTTCTACTTGCTTGAAGGACTAATTGAAGATATTTAATTTAAAAAAGTAACTATTGTTACCATCTATTAGTTTGCTAGAAAGCTGACCTCTGTAAAGCAATAATCTTTCCACCAAAACCATATCATAATCTTTTCACAACAATCATATCATAAATTCTTTTATCACATAAACTGCGGCGCAGGAGTGTAATAAAGCCATTCAATAAAAACGATATTACACTAGTGTAACAACACTTTGACGTGACCTAATTTGCACTATATAGAAGCATAGCGTTAAAGTGCGCTACTGTTAGCGTTACACTATAGATGCGTCATTGAAAAATTACTCATTTTAACAGTTTACTGTTCTTCTTTTAAATATGTGATAAAAAGAATATTATATTCGTGTAGATTCAATACTAATTTTATTGAACTTGTTGAATAAAACAATATTGTGCTCGCCAGAGGCTCGCATAATATGATTTTATTCAACTCGTCCAATAAATTTAGTATGAAACTGCACTCATTGAATATCCTCTATATAAGTAAGATTTAACAGTTAATTTCACATCTATACAGCAATATATCTTAGAAACAACTACAATCAATACTTCCAAAAGGTTGTTGCCCTGCAAAGGTTGCAATGTGCTTAAAAAATGTGCCATCAAGACAGAGAAAATTTGAAGAAAAAACATCAAAATTAACCTCATGACATTGTATACAGTTGACAAGGAATCTATCATTGACTTTATGCTGTGTTAAAGTTTCTACAGGTTCTAATGTTCTTTCCTGGTTGTTCTTCAAATACTTGATAAAACTTTGTTTTACATCTGATCCTTGAATGATACACACTTTCATCAGATCTTCATTTGTAGGTTTAGCATATGATGGTGCTGAAATCATGACAATATTTTGTTAATTTTATCACATAATAAATATAGATACAATTTATGAAATGTTTAACTTCTGGGATGTAAACAAATACAAATAAATATGTGAAACTGCCTCATTAACTTTAAATGTAACTTACATGTATGTTTCTTATTTATCATGCAACTGCTATGGTAACTGCCCGATAACACTTGCCTGATAATTATTTTTGATATCACGTCAGTAACCTGATATCAAAAATTAGCCCCGCCCATTTTAACGGACTTTTTTCAATTGCTTATATTCTCATTTTCATCAACATGTGAATTCTACAATGAAATCTCATACCCTTACAAGTCTTAAATCAATATGCGAAATTGATTTATTTCTTATTTCGATTTCAATTACGAATAAATTAGATAGTGAATAGTTTTAGCACCAACTAAATGAAGTGACGTCATAATTTATATTGCAAATGACATCATCGATGTTCACGTCATACTATACATGTAATCTTAACAAACAGGCTAGACGATTTTCTTTGAGAACTTGTAAATGTTTACTTTATTTCGACGAATTGTTATTTAATAAGTGAACAAATTGTTTCGTTTAAAAAATAAGACGCATGTTTGTGTAGCTTGTGATTGATTGCCGATTTGACTTTTCTTTGATTGAAATTATCGTGAACATTTGAATTTGACAATTCAAGACAAAAATTGCAGTATAAAAGTTTAGTTTATGTGATTCTAAGCGGATTTTTGGATCGATGTTTTAATTAAAGGTAAGAATGTTATCGTATTAGGCCTACATTCTGTTGTATCTTTTATCCGAGTCGAAAGAAAAAATGGCCGCCAATTACAAATTCTAAGTTTCAGGGGCGGAGGAATTTGTTTTCAAGAATTATTTCTTTGAACAAAAATCCCCCTTTTTAACGAAATTCGCTATTTAAAAGTAGATTATTTTGTTATTTTGCCAGTTATTATGTGTTACATGATAAATAGAAAAACATGCTACTGTCTTTTGATATCAATTTTATCAGGCTCGGCTGATATGGGCAGAAAGGGCTCGGCAAGCCTCGCCCTTTCTATCCCATATCAGCCTCGCCTGATAAAATTGATATCAAAAGACAGTAGCATGTTATTCTCTATGTATAGGCCCTTTATCTCTATGCATTGACAAAAGTCTATTCATTTCTTCTTGAATAAACTATAATGCATTGTCTATTCATGATATTCAACCAAAGTACCTACATTGATAGAATATCAATGTTCATAAATTTTCAACAGATTCTGTAGTGCGCACAAAGAATCATAATTACATGTAAAACAAGAGCTGTCAGTAGGACAGCAACGCTCGACTATTCTTAGTGCTTGATAGTATAAAAAAATGCTTGATAGAGTAACCTCCTCCTGTTTACAGGTTGGGGTAATGATGGTGAACAAGTGTGCAAAGTTTCAAAGCCATATGTCAATGAACTTTGAAAATATTTGAGGTATTACAAAAACTTTAACATCAATTCTAAGTCGAAAAAGGGGCATAATTCTGTCAAAATGCTTGATACAGTTACCTCCTCCTGTTAACAGGTTGGGGTAATGATGGTGAACAAGTGTGCAAAGTTTCAAAGCCATAGGTCAATGGACTTTGAAAATATTTGAACTATTACAAAAACTTGAACGTAAATTCTAAGTCGAAAAAGGGTATTCTGTCAAAATGCTTGATACAGTTACCTCCTCCTGTTTACAGGTTGGGGTAATGATGGTGAACAAGTGTGCAAAGTTTCAAAGCCATATGTCAATGGACTTTGAAAATATTTAAACTATTACAAAACTTTAACATAAGTGGTTTCGCCGATGCAGACGCCGACGCCGATGTTCGGGTGACTACAATAGCTCTACTTATTCTTATTGAATAGTCGAGCTAAAAATTACATGAAAATGAACAGGTTAGGGTAAATATACTTCAAAAGTTTATTCTGCACAGGTTTACCATATTTCAGTAGATGAGGCTTAACAGGTTTACTGATTTCAGTAGTTTAGGCTTAACAGGTTTACCATATTTCAGTAGTTTAGGCTAAACAGGTTTACCATATTTCAGTAGTTTAGACTGAACAGGTTTACCATATTTCAGTAGTTTAGGCCAAACAGGTTTACTATATTTCAATAGTTTAAGCTAAACAGGTTTACCATATTTCAGTAGTTTAGGCTGACAGGTTTACTATATTTCAGTAGTTTAGGCCAAACAGGTTTACTATATTTCAATAGTTTAGGCACATTTACTAGATTTTGGTATTTTAAAACATTTCAGTATTTTAGGTTAAACAGGTTTACTATATTTCAGTTGTTTAGGCGGAACAGGTTTAATATATTTCAGTAGTTTAGACAAGTGTACTAGATTTTTTTTTTTTTTAGACGAAACAGATTCAATATATTTCAATAGTTTAGCCTGTGTAATATATCTCCCTAGTTTGGACTGTACAGATATTTGATTCCCTTGTTCAAAGATTTTTTGCTGCTTAACTATTTACTAGGAAATCATGTTTCTTACCATCTAGAAGCTTTGTTCCATGTTGTTTTAAGATTTCTTTTTCAGGTGATATGCATGGATAGCCGTCAGTATTTATGTCCATTGATGAAACTTTGTAAGGTAGAATTGTTACATTTGTCCCTCTTATATTTACATTCTTAAGTTTCAAGCATTTGTTCACCACAGGATAGAGTCCAGTTTCTGTGACTTTACCACATCCAGCTAAGTTTATCTGTAAATTCAGCAAAAAAACTAAAATAGATAAAACAAAAACTGTTTTTGCATTTATCAATTACTATGAAGTTTCAAGTTGGTATGTTTCATTTTTTTTCACTTTTGAAAAGTTAACCCTAACCCTAACCAAGTTTGAAGAAACTACCTGCTATATTATATTAGTTATGCCCAATACAAAAGTTACAATAAGCATAAACAAGAGCTGTCGGTAGAACAGGACGCTTGACTATTCTAAGTGCTTGATAGTAAAAGAGACTTGATAATGTTAATTTTTTTAAGTTCACAAAAGGGCTAATTTTTTATAAAATCATGTTATTGGCCTAAGAGAGAGTCTAATTATACAGTATTGGCTTGACTATTTGGAAGGTAATGTCACAAGGGTGTTTTATTGAGTATAATAATACTAATTACCTATGAATACATAAATTTGACAGAAAAGGTACAAAGGCTTGTTATTAAGATGTTTTATCAAGTAAATCACTGCTTTATTAATATGAATGCATAAAATTGTCCCAAAAAGGCACAAACCCTTCAGTAGTTATTGAGATAACAGCTTACAAGCAAAACTTTACCATGAATTTCTAAGTTGAAAAAGGGGAGAAAAATCAGCCTTAATGCAAGATAGAATTATGGATCTTTGTCAGTGACCTACAATTTTGACCCTAAATGCATATGCGAAGTTTTAAATAAATATCTTTAATAGTTATTGAGATATGTAAAACGTGCATGTAAACATTAACCAAGAGACTAAGTAGAAAAGGGGATATGAATCAGCCTTAATGCAAGATAGAGTTATGGAACATATGGTGTCCGTGACATACAATTATGAACCTCCAATTATGACTCTAAGTGCATGTGTAAAGTTTTAAGTAAATATCTTTGAAGACCTTTAACCTTTAACCAAATTTTTTAAGTTTCAAAGGGGCAAATAATTCTGCAAATATTGAAGGCAGAGTTATGCAATTTTGCAAACTGATGTACATTGTTACTATAAAAAAGTATTTTAAATTTCAATTGAATATCTCAAGCAATAATTGAGATATTTGACTTTACAAAAAAACTTTAACCAAAATTTCTAAGTTCCAAAGTGGCATAATTCTGTCAATATTGTAGACAGAGTTATCTTACTTTTCAATCTGATGTACCTTGTTACTATAAATAAGTATTGTAAGTTTCAATTGAATATCTCAAGAAATAATTGAGATATTTGACTTTACAAAAAAACTTTAACCAAAATTTCTAAGTTAAAAAGGGGCATAATTCTATCAATATTGTAGGCAGAGTTATCCAACTTGTCAATCTGATGAACCTTGTTACTATAAATAAGTATTGTAAGTTTCAATTGAATATCTCAAGTAATAATTGAGATATTTGACTTTACAAAAAACTTTAACCAACGCAGACGCCGACGTGGACGCCATGGCGACTACAATAGCTCTCATCTTCTTCGAATAGTCGAGCTAAAATTATAAGGGCAATTACTCCAAAATTATGCAACAGAGTTATTGTTCTTTTGCACTGCACTTTTCCTTATTAAGATTATCAATTATCTGGTAGATATGTGCTTTCATTTGGATACTTAGTTGGCTACAAGAACAAAAGTTTAGTTGTATTTTCTCTTTCATGTCAATCCCTCAACCCTGGAGCCCACAGGGCATAGGTAAGCAATTACTTTTTGAGGCATGGAGGAGCATGTGACCTGTTTTTGGTACATGGTGGAGCACATGATTTGTAATTCATACATGATTGGTTAATTGACCTTTTAGAAAACCTAGCTTAACATTGTTTTTCGGTACATAAAGTTCATCTTATTATGTACAGAACACTATTTTGTGCATACTACTATGATACCTGTATTTTTCTATCATTATTTAACTGTTTAAGGAGGAATAACTTGATGTGTTTGAAAATAATCAATGTTCCTTTATATCTATCTAAATTATATTTATCTAAATTTTAACAAAAAATAGTTTATAATGAAAATCTATAACATTTAAACATTCGTAGTGGCATCTGCCATAATAAATAGAGATATTTTCTGTATAAAGTTGTAAAAATTTTCTAAAAACAAATAATTATTTTATTTCATTTAGATAAATAAAATGAAAAAAAAAATACAGATCATAATTACATGGCATTTATGGATGACCTTCTAACTGACCCTGTCCAATTTTAGACAGTCACCGGTCTTCAAAGGCCGTCTTCTATTGATTGATTATTTTCCACTATATTCTCAATACAAAACGTTATGAACCTTGTCACATAAAATGTAAAACAGTTATAGATTTTTACAAGTTTTAGCAAAGGCATTCAATTAGAGACACATGTAGTTCAGATCAATATGATTATTTTATAGTGAAAAAAAAAACAAAACTAAAACATGCTACATGAAAGAACTTACAGTTGTCAGGTTAGGAAATAATTCTGGAATGCACTGTATCCCAGCATCAGTCAGGTGAAAACACCCTGATAAATCTAGTTCCTTCACACTGTCACATTTTGTTTTACAGAGATCTGGACCAGATAAAATGTATTTTCCATCTTTATTGTGTATCATCAATGTGAACAGAACTAAATCAGTCATTTGAGTAACTCCACCAAAACTCAAAATATCCACCTTCTCAGACAATAATGATGTCTTCATTTCCTGTAAATATGATAAACAGAAAGCCTTTCAAAATATGTAACATAAAAATGAAAATATCTTTTCAAACTCATTAGCCAATCTATAAACCCTTATTCATTAAAGTCAAGGGCATAAATGTGAAGGATGTATAACAGGGAGCAAGTTAACAACAAACAGAAATAAAAATTAAAGTATAAAACTAGATAAATCTTTAAAGTTAATAAATTTTGGATATCATCCACTGTTGAAAAATAAAAACTATAATACAAAATTTTGTTTGTTTGTTTGTTTGGATTTTACGGCACGTCAACACATAAATGGCCATATCGTGCCAAATGCTAAAATAGGCTTAAACTATTATGTAACAAGGGTGCCATAGTCACAAAATACGCCCGTTTACGAAAGCTTTAGATGGAGATGGGGGCATCATGGATAAGTGTTATCTAGCAAGCAAGTTTTTATTCTTGGCACTGTGTTGTTAAATGAACCTTAAAACAAATCAGTAGGGAAGATATGCACAGGATGTGTGACCTAGACTTTGGTCGCAGGGACCTGAATTTTATGCACGGCACTCAGCCTCACAATGATGAACATTTGTGCCAAATTATATTGAAATCCCTCTATGCATGTAGAAGTTTTACTCCAGACAAGCGTTTTTCTATGAGCTCTAACTGTGACCTTCACCTTTGACCTAGAGACTTGGTTCATGTGCAGGGCACTACGTCTCATGGTGGTGAACAATTCTATAAAGTAACATTAAAATTCCTCCATGCATGTAGAATATATGCTCCGGACAACATCTGGATATTTAATCATCTCCAGTGACCTTGACCTTGCAAATATTAACCTAAATTAAATGTGTCACACCTGTAGTCATGATAGTTACCATTTGTGCTACAATCCATCAATAAATGATGACTAAATTGTCCCTATACACATCTTCAAATTTTTATCTGAACTTTGACCTCTATGTGTAACCTTGACTTTGGTCGCAGGGATCTGAATTTTGCGTGCGACACTCAGCCTCACAATGGTGAACATTTGTGCCAAGTTATATTGAAATCCCCCTATGAATGTAGAAGTTTTGCTCCGGACAAGCGTTTTTCAATGAGCTCTAAGTGTGACCTTGACCTTTGACCTGGAGACCTGGATCATGCATGGAGCAATACATATCATGGTGGTGAACATTTCCATAAAGTATTATAAAAATTCTTCCATACATGTAGGAGATATGCTCCAGACAAAATCTGGATATAAGTGTGACCTTGACCTTTGACCTAGAGACCTAGTTCATGTGCGTGACATGGCTTCTCATAATGGTGAACATTTCTATGAAATTTCATTAAAATCCCTCCATGCGTGTAGGAGATATGCTCCGGACAAAATCTGGATATTTCATCATCTTTAGTGACCTTGACCTTGTATATATTGACCTAAATTATATGTATCACAGCCATAGTCTTGACAATGACCATTTGTGTTACAATCCCTCAATAAATGATGACTAAATGGTCCATATACACATCTTCATATTTTTATCTGAACTTTGACCTCTATGTGTGACCTTGACCGCAAGGACCTGAATCTTGCGCGCGACACTCCGCCTCACAATGGTGAACATTTGTGCCAAGTAATATTGAAATCCCTCTATACATGTGGAAGTTTTGCTCCGGACAAACATTTTTCAATGAGCTCTAAGTGTGACCTTGACCTTTGACCTAGAGACCTGGTTCATGTGCGCGACACTGCTCCTCATAGTGGTGAACATTTCTATGAAGTTTCATTAAAATCCCTCGATACATGTAGGAGATATGCTCTGGACAAAATTGGACGCCGCCCGCCCGCCCGCCAGGGGCGTTCCCATAATACGTCCCATTTTTCAAACGGGCGTATAAAAAGTTGTAAATAATATGATATCCTCAACTTTCTGTGACCTGCTGTATTTGGTACCTACACGATGACCTCACCTTTCTATGACCTGTTCTATGTAGTACCTACATGATAACCTCACCTTTCTATGACCTGTTCTATGTAGTACCAACATAATAACCTCACCTTTCTGTGACCTGTTCTATTTAGTACCTACATGATAACCTCACCTTTCTGTGACCTGTTCTATTTAGTACCTACATGATAACCTCACCTTTCTGTGACCTGTTCTATGTCGTACCAACATGGTAACCTCACCTTTCTGTGACCTGTTCTATTTAGTACCTAAATGATAACCTCACCTTTCTGTGACCTGGTCTATTTAGTTCTTACGTGATAACCTCATCTTTCTGTGACCTGTTCTATTTAGTACCTACATGATAACCTCACCTTTCTGTGACCTGTTCTATTAAGTACCTACATGATAACATCACCTTTCTGTGACCTGTTCTATTTAGTACCTACATGATAACCTCACCTTTCTGTGACCTGTTCTATTTAGTACCTACATGATAACCTCACCTTTCTGTGACCTGTTCTATGTAGTACCTACATGAAAAACTCACCTTTCTGTGACCAGTTCTATGTAGTACTTACATGATAACATCACCTTTCTGTGCCCTGTTCTATGTCATACCAACATGGTAACCTCACCTCTCTGTGACCTTTTCTATTTAGTACTTACATGATGACTTCACCTTTCTGTGACCTGTTCTATGTCATACCAACAGGGTAACCTAACCTTTCTGTGACCTGTTCTATGTCATACCAATATGGTAACCTCACCTTTCTGTGACCTGTTCTATGTCATACCAATATGGTAACCTCAACTTTCTGTGACCTGTTCTATGTCATACCAACATGATAACCTCACCTTTCTGTGAATTTTTCTATGTCGTATTAACATGGTAACCTCACTTCTGAGTAACTACCAGATAACCGCACCTTTCTGTGACCTGTTCTATTTAGTACCTACATGATAACCTCACCTTTCTGTGACCTGTTCTATGTCATACCAATATGATAACCTCACCTTTCTGTGACCTGTTCTATTTGGTATCTACATGATAACCTCACCTTCCTGTGACCTGTTCTATTTAGTACCTACATGATAACCTCGCCTTCCTGTGACCTATTCTATTTAGTACCTACATGATAACCTAACCTTTCTGTGACCTGCTATATTTAGAAACCTATATGATAACCTCACCTTTCTGTGACCTGTTCTATTTAGTACCTACATGATAACCTCGCCTTCCTGTGACCTGTTCTATTTAGTACCTACATGATAATCTCACCTGTCTGTGACCTGTTCTATTTGGTACCTACATGATAACCTCACCTTTCTGTGACCTGTTCTGTAGTACCTACATGATAACCTAACCTTTCTGTGACCTGTTCTATGTAGTATCTACATGATAACCTAACCTTTCTGTGACCTGTTCTATGTAGTACCTACATAACCTCACCTTTCTGTGACCTGTTCTATGTAGTACGTACATGATAACCTCACCTTTCTGTGACCTGTTCTATGTAGTACCTACATGATAACCTCACCTTTCTGTGACTTGTTCTATTTAGTACCTACATGATTAATTCACCTTTCTATGGCCTGGTCTTAACAAAGGACTTATTGCAAATTGTTCTACTTAGATAAGTTTCTGATGAGTTATAATACTACAATTAGATAGAATGATAAAATAAACAAATATCAATAACAGGGCTACTAATTTAGTAATATAATCATAATATATTAGATGTAAACACAAACTTACCATAGCTTCCATGATTGAAAAGAATGGTTTCTGTCCCATAGAAATATCTTTCCTTTTCTGAAATAAAATCAATTTATGTAATAAATTAATGTAATATAATCTAAAGCCTGTTTTGTTTATTTGTTTCTCAGATTTTTATGCTTATTTTATGTCATATCTTGGCAGGCAATCCACCTTAACTCGATGACTAGCCAGTAATTTATTATTTGACCAAATAGATCTGTACCCAAATTCAATGTTCCATTTTTCTCAGTGCTGGATATTATAAATCAATGCAAAATAAAAATAAATTGCACAATCCTGCAAAAATAATTAACAGACTTACCTACTTTTGATATTGAAGAAGTATTTCAAGTAAGAAGTAAATTACTTCCATCAATTTAAGAAAAAACAAAAAAACAAATGTTCATAGTCATATTTTTATCACTTTCATAACTTGACAAGTATATATAATTTATATACATATATAACTATCAGCATAGAAAAAAATCAGTCTGCATATATATTGCTATCATACATGAATAAAGCATCTGTATAGAGTCAGGAAAGTCTGCATATATGAATTAAGCATTGGTATAGAGCCAAACCAGTCTGCATATATGAATAAAGCATAGGTATAGAGCCAGGTCAGTCTGTATATACGAATAAAGCATTGGTATAGAGCCAGGTCAGTCTGCATAGATGAATAAAGCATCAGTATAGAGTCAGGTAAGTCTGCATAATTATATGAATAAAGTATTGGTAAAAAGCCAGGTCAGTCTGCATAGATGAATTTAGCATCAGTATAGAGCAAGGTCAGTCTGCATATATAATTAAAGCATTGGTATAGAGCCAGGTCAGTCTACATAGATGAATAAAGCATTGGAATAGAGCCAGGTCAGTCCGCATAGATTAAAAGCATTGGTATAGAGCCAGGTCAGTCTGCATATATGAATAAAGCATCGGTATAGAGCCAGATCAGTCTGCATAAATGAATAAAGCATTGGTATAGAGTCAGGTCAGTCTGCATATATACGAATAAAGCATTGGTATAGAGCCAGGTCAGTCTGCATATATGAATAAAGCATAGGTATAGAGCCAGGTCAGTCTGTATATACGAATAAAGCATTGGTATAGAGCCAGGTCAGTCTGCATAGATGAATAAAGCATCAGTATAGAGTCAGGTCAGTCAGCATATATTAATAAAGTATTGGTATAGAGCCAGGTCAGTCTGCATAATTATATGAATAAAGCATAGGTATAGAGCCAAGTCAGTCTGCATAGATGAATAAAGCATTGGTATAGAGCCAGGTCAGTCTGCATAGATGAATAAAGTATTGGTATAAAGCCAGGTCAGTCTGTATATATGAATAAAGCATCAGTATAGAGCCAGGCCAGTCCGCATAGATGAATAAAGAATCGGTATAGAGCCAGGTCAGTCTGCATATATGAATTTAGCATCAGTATAGAGGCAGGTCAGTCTGCATAGATGAATAAAGCATAGGTATAGAGCCAGGTCAGTCTGCATATATGAATAAAGCATCAGTATAGAGCCAGGTCAGTCTGCATATATGAATAAAGCATTGATATAGAGCCAGGTCAGTCTGTATAGATGAAAAAAGCATAGGTATAGGGCCAGGTCAGTCTGCATATATGAATAAAGCATTGATATAGAGCCAGGTCAGTCTGTATAGATGAATAAAGCATAGGTATAGGGCCAGGTCAGTCTACATATATGAATAAAGCAAAGGTATAGAGCCAGGTCAATCTGCATATATGAATAAAACAAAGGTATAGAGCCAGGTCAGTCTGCATAGATGAATAAAGCATAGGTATAGAGCCAGGTCAGTCTGTATATATGAATAAAACATTGGTATAGAGCCAAGTCAGTCTGCATAGATGAATAAAAAATCGGTATAGAGCCAGGTCAGTCTACATATATGAATTTAGCTTCAGTATAGAGCCAGGTCAGTCTGCATAGATGAATAAAGCATAGGTATAGAGCCAGGTCAGTCTGCATATATGAATAAAACATAGGTATAGAGCCAGGTCAGTCTGTATAGATGAATAAAAACATTGGCATAGAGCCAGGTCAGTCTGCATAGATGAATAAAACATAGGTATAGAGCCAGGTCAGTCTGCATAGATGAATAAAGCAAAGGTATACAGCCAGGTCAGTCTGCATATATGAATAAAACAAAGGTATAGAGCCAGGTCAGTCTGCATATATGAACAAAACATTTGTATAGAGCCAGGTCAGTCTGCATAGATGAATAAAGCATTGGTATAGAGTCAGGAAAGTCTGCATATATGAATTAAGCATTGGTATAGAGCCAAACCAGTCTGCATATATGAATAGAGCCAGGTCAGTCTGCATATATTTTGCTAACATACATGAATAAAGCATAGGTATAGAGCCAGGTCAGTCTGCATATATGAATAAAGCATCAGTATAGAGCCAGGTCAGTCTGCATAGATGAATAAAGCATTGGTATAGAGCCAGGTCAGTCTGCATATATGAATAAAGTATCGGTATAGAGCCAGGTGAGTCTGCATAGATGAATAAAGCATAGATAAATAACCAGGTCAGTCTGCATATATATGAACTAGAAGGGTTATTGTCTCCCAAAACTATGTATGGTCACTTGTGTGATGTTTCATTGAAATCATACCAGTAGCTTGACCTGTGAAAGCCGTACAAGATTTTTCTATTCATAGCTCTGACGGCCATTTTGTGCAGCAAAGCAGAACATGCTGATGATGTGCACAACTTGGGATGGTACTGATCACTCCTGTAAAGTTTGGTTGAAATCCCACCTGTGGTTTGACCTTTGAAGGGCAGACAATATTTTTCTACTGATAGTTCTAGTGGCCATTTTGTGCACAGAAGCGGAATGTGATGGTGATGTGCACAACTAGGGATGATACTGATCACTCCTATAAAGTTTGGTTGAGATCCAACCAGTAGTTTGCAAGTTTTTTCTATTTTAAGTCCTGGCGACAATTTTGTGCAGAGAAGGGAAACATGCCAGTGATGTGCATGCAACTAAGGATGGTACCAATCACTCTTGTAAAGTTTGGTTGAAATCCCACCAGTTGTTTGATGTCTGAAGATCAGTCAGGTTTTTTTCAATTTTAAGTTCTGGTGGCAATTTTGTCCAGCGAAGCAGAACATGCCATTAATATTTTTAGCTCTGGCGGCAATTTTTTGCAGTGAAGCCGAACCTGCTAGTAATGTGCACAACTAGGGATGGTACTGATCACTCCTGTAAAATTTGGTTGAAATCCCACCAGTAGTTTGACCTGTGAAGGGCTAACAAGATTTTTCTGTTTTTAATTCTGGTGGCCATTTTGTGCAGCAAAGCGGAACATGCCTGTGATGTGCACAACAAGGGATGGTACTGATCACTCCTGTAAAGTTTGGTTGAAATCCCACCAGTTGTTTGACATCAAAGAGAAAGAACAGTTACCTATTGGTCCTCTAGCCACATTATTACTGTCCCATGAGAGAAGAGGGACAGACAGATGGATGGACGGACAGATTGCAAAGGCAAAAACAATATGTCTCCCAAAAATTTTTGGAGACATAAAATGATAATAAAGCATCAGTATAGAGCCAGGTCAGCCTGCATATATGAATGAAGCATTCGTGTAGAGCTTGGCTAGTCTGCATCTTGGAGCCAGGCCAGTCTGCATATAAAGTTATCACCTTGGAGCCAGGCCAGTCTGCATATTAAGTTACCACCTAGGAGCCAGGCCAGTGTGCATATTAAGTTACCACCTAGGAGCCAGGCCAGTCTGCATATTAAGTTATCACCTAGGAGCCAGGCCAGTCTGCATATTAAGTTACCACCTAGGAGCCAGGCCAGTCTGCATATTAAGTTACCACCTAGGAGCCAGGCCAGTCTGCATATTAAGTTATCCCCCTTGGAGCCAGGCCAGTCTGCATATTAAGTTACCACCTAGGAGCCAGCCAGTCTGCATATTAAGTTATCACCTTGAAGCCAGGTCAGTCTGCATATTAAGTTATCCCCTTGGAGCAAGGCCAGTCTGCATATTAAGTTATCACCTTGGAACCAGGCCTGTCTGCATATTAAGTTATCACCTAGGAGCCAGGCCAGTCTTGCATATTAAGTTACCACCTAGGAGCCAGGTCAGTCTGCATATTAAGTTAACACCTTGGAGCCAGGCCCAGTCTGCATATTAAGTTACCACCTTGGAGCCAGGCCAGTCTGCATATTAAGTTATCACCTAGGAGCCAGGCCGTCTGCATATTAAGTTATCACCTAGGAGCCAGGCCAGTCTGCATATTAAGTTATCACCTTGGAGCCAGGCCAGTCTACATATTAAGTTATCACCTAGGAGCCAGGCCAGTCTGCATATTAAGTTACCACCTAGGAGCCAGGCAAGTTTGCATATTAAGTTATCACCTTGGAGCCAGGCTAGTCTGCATATTAAGTTATCACCTAGGAGCCAGGCCAGTCTGCATATTAAGTTATCACCTAGGAGCCAGGCCAGTCTGCATATTAAGTTACCACCTAGGAGCCAGGCCAGTCTGCATATTAAGTTATCACCTAGGAGCCAAGCCAGTCCGCATATTAGGGTTATCACCCAGGAGCCAGGCCAGTCTGCATATTAAGTTATCACCTTGGAGCCAGGCCAGTCTGCATATTAAGTTATCACCTTGGAGCCAGGCCAGTCTGCATATTAAGTTATGACCTAGGAGCCAGTCCAGTCTGCATATTAAGTTATCACCTAGGAGCCAGGCCAGTCAGCATATTAAAATTACCACCTAGGAGCCAGGCCAGTCGGCATATTAAGTTATCACCTTGGAGCCAGGCCAGTGTGCATATTAAGTAAATCACCTTGGAGCCAGGCCAGTCTGCATATTAAATTATCACCTTGGAGCCAGGCCAGTCTGCATATTGAGTAATCACCTTGGAGCCAGGCCAGTCTGCATATTAAGTTATCATCTTGCAGCCAGGCCTGTCTGCATATTGAGTAATCACCTTGGAGCCAGGCAAGTCTGCATATTAAGTAATCATCTTGCAGCCAGGCCAGTCTGCATATAAAGTAATCACCTTGAGCCAGGCCAGTCTGCATATAAAGTTATCACCTTGGAGCCAGGCCCAGTCTGCGTATTAATTTATCACCTTGGAGCCAGGCCAGTCTGCATATCAAGTTATCACCTTGGAGCCAGGCCAGTCTGCATATTAAGTTATCACCTTGGAGCCAGGCCAGTCTGCATATTAAGTTACCACCTAGGAGCCAGGCCAGTCTGCATTATTAAGTAACCACCTAGGAGCCAGGCCAGTCTGCATATTAAGTTATCACCTAGGAGCCAGGTCAGTCTTCATATTAAGTTACCACCTTGGAGCCAGGCCAGTCTGCATATTAAGTTATCACCTAGGAGCCAGGCCAGTCTGCATATTAAGTTAACCACCTAGGAGCAAGGCCAGTCTGCATATTAAGTTATCACCTAGGAGCCAGGCCAGTCTGCATCTTAAGTTACCACCTAGGAGCCAGCCAGTCTGCATATTAAGTTATCACCTAGGAGCCAGGCCAGTCTGCATATTAAGTTATTACCTTGGAGCCAGGCCAGTCTGCATATTTCGTTATCACCTAGGAGCCAGGCCAGTCTGCATATTAAGTTATCACCTAGGATCCAGGCCAGTCTGCATATTAAGTTATCACCTAGGAGCCAGGCCAGTCTGCATATTAAGTTACCACCTAGGAGCCAGGCCAGTCTGCATATTAAGTTATCACCTAGGAGCCAGGCCAGTCTGCATATTAAGTTACCACCTTGGAGCCAGGCCAGTCTGCACATTAAAGTTATCACCACACTGCATATTAAGTTATCACCTTGGAGCCAGGCCAGTCAGCATATTAAGTTACCACCTTGGAGCCAGGCCAGTCTGCATATTTAAGTTATCACCTTGGAGCCAGGCCAGTCAGCATATTAAGTTACCATTTTGGAGCCAGGCCAGTCTGCATATTAAGTTACCACCTTGGAGCCAGGCCAGTCTGCATATTAAGTTATCACCTTGGAGCCAGGCCAGTCAGCATATTAAGTTATCACCTAGGAGCCAGGCCAGTCTGCATATTAAGTTACCACCTTGGAGCCAGGCCAGTCTGCATATAAAGTTATCACCTAGGAGCCAGGCCAGTCTGCATATTAAGTTATCACATTGGAGCCAGGCCAGTTGGCATATAAAGTTATCACCTTGGAGCCAGGCCAGTCGGCATATTAAGTTACCACCTAGGAGCCAGGCCAGTCTGCATATTAAATTATCACCTAGGAGCCAGGCCAGTCTGCATATTAAGTTATCACCTTGGAGCCAGACCAGTTTGCATATTTTGTTATCCCCTTGGAGCCAGGCCAGTCTGCATATTAAGTTATCCACCTAGGAGCCAGGCCAGTCTACATATTAAGTTATCACCTTGGAGCCAGGCCAGTCTGCATATTAAGTTACCACCTAGGAGCCAGGCCAGTCTGCATATAAAAGTTATCCCCTTGGAGCCAGGCCAGTCTGCATATTAAGTTAACACCTTGGAGCCAGGCCAGTCTGCACATTAAGTTATCACCTTGGAGCCAGGCCAGTCTGCATATTAAGTTACCACCTTAGAGCCAGGCCAGTCTGCATATTAAGTTATGACCTTGAAGCCAGGCCAGTGTGCATATTAAGTAATCACCTTGGAGCCTAGCCAGTCTGCATATTAAGTTATCACCTTGGAGCCAGGCCATTCTGCATATTAAGTTATAACCTTGGAGCCAGGCCAGTCTGCACATATTATCATTTAGTTTTGCTTTACACTTTACAATATACTGACTGTGTGTGTGAATTTACAATTTTGTTCTGAAATAAGAGCAATGTTAAATAATTTACATTAATCAAGCTTTGCAATATAAAACAATAGAGCATCTTACCTGTTCAGCTGTTATTGCCCTTATAGCATTTGGTGATACAGGTTTTGAGACATTTAATATACCAACAGCATCAGACGGGACTTTTATGTTTGTTAATCGTGTTGGCAAAGACTTTGGCGTTCTCACTGGCTGAAAAGTTTGTTTTGTAGCCACATTTGACATGTTAGTATCTGTATTCTCCAGCACATCTACCTGAACCTCAGGAGCTTTGTATTCATTTGTTAAATTCTGCATATCTTTATATGCAGATTCCACTGTTATATTCCGCTTAGGAGCTCCTTTTTTCCCCTTCTTACGAAACCTGTTACATAAATAAAGAATAATTGTGAATACGTATATTCTTGAAATTGTATAACTTTTACATTAAACAAATTAAAACATCTTAAAACTAGAGCAGCCTGGTGCTGTCACTAGTGATGAAAATCCCACCATTTTATGTCACATGCTTTAATGCTTAATCTTATCATCATTTTGGGAGCTAAGTTGAAAGTTTTTCAAGGAGTACAATGTTAATAGTTGAGGTTTGTCCCTGATTTTTCACAACTGTGGAATGGATTTGGCACATCCTTTTGTTGATGTAATCATTTGAGGCCAATTTGAATAAATCCTTCAAGGGGTATGTGAGAATTCTTTTTTACATTTAAAATTTCTTACACTTATGTGACCTTGAGCCCTAGGCATTGCATGGATTCTGTATATTGACTTCTTTGTGTTAAGTTTAAATAAAAAATCTGTTAAGGGGTATATGATTTATACATTAGATATGGTGGTGATGAACATAGAAATGGACCAGTTTCTTACTTCATTATAACCTTATTCCTTTTATCATTAGTAAAATCTCAATCAACATCTTAACGAAACCGTGCAATTTTTAAAGGCAGAATTACAGTTTGGAATGAACCCCATTACTCTAGCACCATGATGTCTCTTCTATCTTTCGTAAAAGCAGGTGGATATAATCATATTTTTGCAAAATCTAAAATTAATGTTTTCTAGATAAACTTAGTCCAACATTTCATCCTTAAACAACTACAGTAAAAACCCGCTTTACGACCACCCCGTTTTCGAGACCAACCCGCTAATGAGAACGATTTTTTTAAGACCCGATTTTTTTATTCTTTATTTCATTGGTCGCCAACCCCGATTTTGAGACCACCCCGTTATTCCGTAATACGACCAGTAAATTCAGTCCCGTTTCGTAAATTATGTACATTTGGAAACCCATAAATACGACCGCGGGCACTTTCTCACCTTGATATTGATGTGCATTGTATATTGCTGAAATCCTTTTGACACGTGATGTAAACAACAGTTGTCCTAGTTTTGCGACATTTAACGACATCCAATTTATGGCAGAGGTCATGGTTAATTTGTGTCAAACCCGGAACTAATCAATAATTGCCGATAATTTCTTAATTTCACACCTTTAATGTCGTAATTGTAGGTTTACAATAACAAAATATTGAACAGAAAACTTTTGCTAAGTTTTTTAGAGGTGTTGTCTCTATCATTATCTCTTTTGTTTCATAATCTAAACAAACACAAACGTGATGCAATTATTTTGTTTGAAGTTGTTATCGGCGATAAAACCTGTGGAAATAATTAAGGGTTAATTGGTCGTTTTGTTTTGTAGTAAATTGGCGATTTTCATCAGTCTTTAATTGAGTAAGTTGTGTCATTCTTTTAACAAGAATATAAAAATAAGTTTGTGTTCAAAGACATTCGTAATACATTTTGTATCTTTAGAGAAGTTTAAAAATTTCATAAAGTGTACTTAAGCTGCACTTTGAAATAATGAATAGGAAACGTAACGAACTTTGCCTTCAAGAAAAAATGCATTGCCTGGTTTTCAGTTTGACCAAACTCATTAAAGAGACCAACCCGCTATTAAGACCAGATTTGCAAAGTCCCTTCAGTGGTCTCATTAGCGAGTTTTTACTGTATATAAAATCATATTTTATGGCTAGGCTAGATTTGAGATTTTACATTTAATTTAATTTGTAACTAGACTGCCACTATCATGGCGTGAATACCCCCGCATACCACTTTGTCAGAATCAACAGTGGCCATTTAGAGCTCAAGGACTACCTCCCTGCCAAATCTGAGGTTACTTAGCCAGTGCAATGCTAACGTATGTAATTTACATGCTTCAAATGTGAAAATGTCAAAATCAATACATTGCGGACAGGACATTCTTTACCAATTGAGAAGAAAAGCTTTTGTCAAGGTCCCTGTGACCTTGACCTTTGACCCAGTGACCTCAAAATCAATAGGGGTCACCTTATAGTCATGATCAACATCCATGCCAAATATGAAGACTGTGGGTCAAAGGAATCTTAAGTTTATGGGTGGAAAAAAAATTTGAAGTCAAAGTAACTATGACCTTGACCTTTGATCCAGTGACCTCAAAATCAATAGGGGTCATCTACTAATCATGACTAACCTCCATGCCAAATATGAAGACTGTGAGTCAATGGAATCTTAACTTATAGGGCGGACAAGCTTTTTGAAGTCAAGGCCCCTGTGACCTTGACCTTTGACCTGGTGACCTCAAAGTCAAAAGGGGTCATTTACTAATCATGACTAACCTCCATGCCAAATATGAAGACTGTGGGTCAAAGGAATCTTAAGTTATTGGGCAGACAAGCTTTTTGAAGTCAAGGCCCCTGTGACCTTGACCTTTGACCTGGTGACCTCAAAATCAATAGGGGTCATCTACTTATCATGACTAGCCTCCATGCCAAATATGAAGACTGTGGGTGAAAGGAATCTTAAGTTATTAGGCGGACAAGCTTTTTGAAGTCAAGGCCCCTGTGACCTTGACCTTTGACCTGGTGACCTTAAAATCAATAGGGGTCATCTACTTATCATGACTAACCTCCATGCCAAAAAAATGAAGACTGTGGGTCAAAGGAATCTTAAGTTATTGGGCGGACAAGCTTTTTGAAGTGAAGGCCCCTGTTATCTTGACCTTTGACCTGGTGACCTCAAAGTCAATAGGGGTCATCTACTAATCATGACTAACCTCCATGCCAAACATGAAGACTGTGGGTCAAAGGAATCTTAAGTTATTGGGCGGACAAGCTTTTTGAATTGAAAGCCCCTATGACCTTGACCTTTGACCTGGTGACCTCAAAGTCAATAAGGGTCATCTACTTATCATGACTAGCCTCCATGCCAAATATGAAGACTGGGTCAAAGGAATCTTAAGTTATTGGGCGGACAAGCTTTTTGTAGTCAAGGCCCCTGTGACCTTGACCTTTGACCTGGTGACCTCAAAATCAAAAGGGGTCATCTACTAATCATGACTAACCTCCATGCTAAAAATGAAGACTGTGGGTCAAAGGAATCTTAAGTTATTGGGCGGACAAGCTTTTTGAAGTCAAGGCCCCTGTTATCTTGACCTTTGACCTAGTGACCTCAAAATCAATAGGGGTCATTTACTTATCATGACTAACCTCCATGCCAAATATGAAGACTAAGGGTCAAAGGAATCTTAAGTTATTGGGCGGACAAGAAAAAACCAACCGACAAGCTGTTTCCAGTATACCTCCCTTACAACTTTGTTGTGCGGGAGTATAAAAAGAAAGCTTGACATTTGTTATGTAGTCTTACATTATTCATGTTTATCAATTAGATCTCAGCTGTCTTGGTTTACAGATCTGTTACAAACAATCTTTAAAATTCTTTTAACTTAGGTGAATTTATAATTACAGAAATGAACAATATGTTTTTGAGACTTCAATTTTAAAAATAATAAAGGAACTTTACTAACATGATGGAAGTTTTGTAGATGCCACACTTGCTCTTACTTAATCAGAACTTGTCAACCTGAAATAATAAAAAAAAGTAAATTAAAAAACATCTTAAGATCTCCTAAGAACTCCATGCTCCCTTAAACAGTTTCTCCCTTTGAAATATAAACACACGCTCCTCCCTTGTGAAATATAAACACAAATTCCTCCCTTGTGAAATATAAACACAAATTCCTTCCTTGTGAAATATAAACACAAATTCCTCCCTTGTGAAATATAAACACAGTCAAATTTCTCCCTTGTGAAATATAAACACGGTCAAATTTCTCCCTTGTGAAAAAACTGAAATATACACACGTTCCAACCCTTGTGAAATATAAACACAAATTCCTCCCTCGTGAAATATTAACACAAGTTCTTTCCTTGTGAAATATAAACACAAATTCCTCCCTTGTGAAACATAAAAACAAGTTTCTCTCTTGTGAAATATAAACACAAATTCCTCCCTCGTGAAATATTAACACAAGTTTCTCCCTTGTGAAATATAAACACACGTTCCTCCCTTATGAAATATAAACACATGTTCCATCCTTGTGAAATATAAACACATGTTCCTTTCTTGTGAAATATAAACACAAGTTCCTCTCTTGTGAAATATAAACACAAGTTTCTCCCTTGTGAAATATAAACACAAGTTCCTCCTTTGTAAAATATCAACACAATCATGAAATTCTTCTTAAGGTTTGATGGTTCCAGTAATTTCACAGAAGATTTGGTTAAAAGGGGCGTATACCTCTATCAATGATATTTGATTGCAGCAAAAATCCAACTTGACCTGTATTTTGATAAACTTTAATTCCAAATACAAACACATCTTTGAAGTCCTTCAAAGTTTAAACTGCAGAAACCAATAGTTTTAATGGAAATTTGGTTAAGATTGCATCCAGCAATGATAAGTTGATTGCAGGGAAAAATGAACTTGACCACTGTTCTGACATAACATACTTCCCTGCCAAATATAATCACAGTCATTGAAATTCTTCTGATTAACAGAAGATCTGATTGGCCACTTCCTCTACTTTACGGAATGAACTCTGGTTTTTTATACAGGGAATGGGGGGGTGGAACCCCCTATGGATCTCAAAATTTAGCATGGTATGAAGAAAATGATGAAATGACTGAGAGAATATCTTGATGAAGACTTAAAAAAAATACAGAACAAAATGGGTTAATATAGTGGAAAGTCAAGAGGGTAGAATCATATTTTGATTTTCTTAAAAAAAGCTTTGAATTTTACATAAATGTTTAAAAGGTGGAAAACTACCCTATGATTGACCTATTTTCCCCTTCACATATAGAGTTAATTAGCTCACATCTGGATCAGCAAAAATTCACATGTTTTTTTACCAATGCTTAATTTTGAGATTCTTATGGGGTTTCACTGACGTACTGTAAAAGCCGATGTCTGTGTAAAATCAATTTGTAAAGTGGGTCGAAATATTGAGACTTTGTGTTGTGTTGTACTGGAGCTGTCATTGATTCAGTGCAAAGCCATAATCTGTACAATAATAGCAATATC